TCAGTATAATCAAAGCGTACATCGGCGAATGTGAAATCCGTCCGGTCAACTTTTTTTTTTGAAAAACATTTTGTTTTACTATGAAGTTTAAATTAAGATATAAGATAACTATAATTAATCTCGCAGATTTCTTAGTTGTATGAAAAAATATTGTAAAACAAAAGAGATATTACTAGTAACACTTTTTGTCGATCAGTTCAATATTGTAAAACGTACATCAGTGAGTGTGAAATCCGTCCGGTCAACTTTTTTTTGTTAAATTTTCATAAAATATAGTCTAATATTTCTAAGGTCTTCAAATATTAAAATAATCTATCAAATAACAAAAAAGTTCTGACTATTTATATCTCATCCGGTCAATACGGGCAATTGTCCTGTCATTAGTGTAACCCAACTGTTGGCAGCGTATCGTCGCGATGCGGCATGTGGGAATATACTGGAAAAAATAACAATATACCAAGAGTAACAGCATGTAAGCGTATAGCTTCCGGAATTTGTAGTTTTCTGTCCAACAGAGGGTGTCCAACAGAGGGATGTAATTAAGAACAATGAGTTGATGCTCCTTTGGTATCAACCGCCTCTCTCTTTCTCTGTTTCTTTTTTTTTTGGGGAAGGGGGGTATGGGGGGCACAAACACATGAACACGAGTGATTCGTAGAGTAATCATATTTGTTGAAATTTTATGCTGCGTTCACACGTAATTCGAATTCGATTCGCAATAACTAATTCGACTTATTTTAATTCGCATTCGAAACGTTTGACGTCCAAACGTAAATTCTAATTCGAATTGCAATGCGCGTCAAATTCGCTTTACTGTCCTAACGACGTTAACTTTTAATTCGTATTAACAAAAACGCATTTCTAATGCGAATTGGATAATGCGATTTAGCCAATTCGAATCAATTCGAATTAAAAAGAAGAGTGTGTGAACGCGATTAGCGAATTCGATTAGCATTCGATTCGAATTCAATTCGAATTAAATGTACGTGTGAACGAGGCATCAAACGTTATATAAGAATAACGCCAGTTAAACATCACTGTAAAAGAAGCATACAAAATTTTACATCGGTTGCTGGCTGTCGAAATCAAAGAAAATTTAGCACCGTATTATATAGTACATTAGACTCAATCTTCCTTTAATGCTTTGTACAGGCTTACATAATTTGGGCACCTAAAAAAAAATCATAGTTTGTAGTATTTCTTCAAACTGTCAATTATAGCGAACTGTACGACCAGCAAGTTAAAAAATAAGGCCGCCAGACGTCAGAGCAATCTGGGAATATCAAACACTATGCCTAGTTATTTTTGTACTATTGATGACCGTACTGCCTACAACAACAACAAAAAATCCACACTGTATATTTGGCTTTACAAGACTCCAACAAGAGAAATATTTAACACACACACATGTATTTATGTAGAGTAACATGTCTTTCAGAGTGCTAATCTGTAACCATCACATTAAGGTCCGTCTTGTGGAAGAGTATTCATTTCATATAGAAAAAAAATTTTGTGCTGATATTCATGTAATATTTGCCACTGAAAGTTTTGCAAAAATCAAGAAAAAAATGAAAACAAAAACTAGTAGTTCAGATGTAGGTTCGTGTTCAGATCACTCAATGTGATCACTTGCATGTCAACAAACAGTGATATGGAGATTGTCAGATTCCGATCATGACTGTAAAGGACAACCATTTGTTTAATACAAATGTAGCTGATTTACTCTTGATACCTTGGTTCTTTAAAAAAAAAATGGCCAACATGATATATCAGAGTGCTGAAAGTGGCACACACAATCAATCAGTTATTTTCAAATTACCTATCATTAATCAGTTTTGGCAAAAAAAAGTATATAGGCTATACCATACTGAAACATAAATGTGATAAAAGAATATACAATTCAAGAAAGAGAGGTGCACCAACAGAAAATAGAAACTGCAATCTTTCTTTTTATTTCATCGGATCTCAGATCTCAAAATTTTAACTCTTACCAGAATTTATTCTATCTTACAGTATAATACGGAAGTTTCTAAGTGGAATTCGAGCTTTAACTAGAACTCTTAGTCGAATTAACATTCGAACTAAAAATAAAACTGGAACTTTAACCCTAATTTGAGCTGGAACTCGAACTCTTATTCTACATCAAAGGTTATCCATACGCTCATTTGTCATCTGATAAAAAAATTCGTAAGGGTTCCACGGAACCCAGTGTCTCGCCTACTTTTACTGTTATGGGCCCAGTTTCAAGTTTGTCCAAGTTGGGGTCCAAAAAAATAAATGTTTTAAAAACTTTAACTGCATACTGTGTGTAATGTAAACTGGAAGAAAAACTAAGTCCATTTATAAGTAAAATACGGATAAACAGGTACAAAATTTTGACAAAATTTCCTTCGAGATACAAGCTTTTGATCATAAACAAGCTTCTGTCCAAGTTTGGTACATATCCAGGATAGTTTAAGAAAGTTATTGAAATCTTAAAAACTTTAACCACAGAGTGAATGTATTGTTTCCTGGCAGAAAAACTAAGTCAATTTGTAAGTAAAATACGGAAAAATTAGATTTTTTTTTTTACAAAATTTACTTCTGGATACTATTTTGTGATCATAAACAAGCTTCTGACCAAGTTTGGTACAAATCGAGGATAGTTTAAGAAAGTTATTAAAAATTTAAAAACTCTAACCACAGAGTAAATGTATTGCTTCCTGGCTGAAAAACTTAGTCCATTTATAAGTCAAATATGGAAAAACAGGAATTTTATTTTTACAAAATTTACTTCTGGATACTATCTTATGATCATAAACAAGCTTCTGTCCAAGTTTGGTAGAAATCCAGGATATTTTAAGAAAGTTATTAAAACTTCAAAAACTTTAACCACAGAGTTAGTATTTGTGAACGCCGCCGCCGCCGCCGACGCCGACGACGCCGACGACGCCGACGACGGAATGTAGGATCGCTATGTCTCGCTTTTTCGACTAAAGTCGAAGGCTCAACAAAAAACTAGAGTTAGATAAAATATATCGACAGAAACACGGATAGATGTAGCAGAAAAAAAAAAAAAAATAGATCCGTTTATTACAAATTAAAAGATTTTTTAAAATACATATCAACTGGGAACATTATATGTTACTGATATCAATATGGCGATGTGTATTTTATTGTCAATTAACTCTAAATTATCAGATGCATTGTATTTCTCATAACATACCAACGTTTAGCGATTAATCGAACGGTAATAGAATATACGTAATACATAAAGTTTTAATACACAGGCGATGAACATTGAACATATTATGTACAATGAACATGAAACGATGTATGAAACATGGGTGCGGGATGATAGAACTCAGAAAAAAATTTGGTTTCCACAGTTCGAATAAATTATGAAGCGTTGTGTAATTACGGAACCAATTTTAAATTCCTACCGAAAATAGGTTTCTTTTAACGTGCTGAGTTTGTGGCATTTTTAACACGGCATTTCAGGTTTTATCTTCCAGGTGCGAATGGACACGATAGTGAAATTATGGTAACGAAATTATTCTGCCTGCCGTCTAAAGGTACGTGTTACTTTTCAGCCCGGATACCCTCAGTCTTCCGAGGTAGAAGATTCTTTATCTGGAAGCCGAAAATTATTTCTATAATACGGCATGAGGCAAACATTCGTTTTCCCCATACAACAAACGCAACTAAAAAAATGACATGACTTCAACTTTGACAATTACTTTATAATAAACTGTTATTGTATCTATGTTTAACGATTCGATAGATTGATAAAGATATCAACGAATAATCAAAATACCTTAAAAAATGTTCAAAAATGATATTATATTTTGTAGTGAAAGGCCTAATTCAACCCAAGCGTTGCAAGAAATGCTGTTATGCCAGCAACGTCGTTCTATAACGTTAAAAGGTTATAGTTCCCGCCGAAATTCAATAATAAAGATTATTTCCGTTTAAACGGATTTAAAACATCGGTGACCCCCCTTTTTTATTTATGCTTTTAAAATCTTCCCTGAAGCTGCAACTTATGCAGAAGTTTGAAGAGAAAAACATAAGTAGATTTTTTTTATTTCAAGAAAAATCTATTATAAATAGCAATTAAAAATGGCGGGAAATGTTCAAATGCCTTCAAAAATAAAGAAACCGAGACAAATAAATGTTCATAAGGTACAAGTTACATTTGACTGTTTTTGTTATTCCAGTTAAACATGGTTTTTAAATAAGTTTTTCTTTTTTTAACAATTTAGAGCGGTATTTCTATATTTCGTTATAACGCGATTCTTTAAGTTTTGATGACGTCATATCTCGAAAACAACATCGGTGACCCCAATTTTTTTTTCGTCTAAAATATCTTTATAAGTATGATCTGTCTACATGCAAAATTTCAATGAATTATTATTAGTAGTATAAATAGTGTGATTTCCCTTTAAGTACTTTGAGCTTGCTTCCAGTAACTACGGACATATTTTGATGCGGTTTAACTTGTTATTTATATTTTGTTTCCGCCACTTATTATTTACCGTATTCTATATATTCGTTCACAAATATTGAGAACTGTTTAAAACTTAGTGTTCTGCATAATTGCTTGTCTTATGAACGTATAACAAAAAATTCCTTTGTTTTCTTCAAACATAATTATATACCCCACCATCACCAAAACACTCAAAACACACACCAAAGTTTTTTATTCCGATCAATTTTTAGATTTCGGTGACTTATTTCTTGAACTGTTGTTTACCTTTTCATCGATTTTGGTTTTTATTCGACTAATCGTTTGAGAAACTAAAAAAAAACAACAACTATTGGCACCAGTATAATTGACATGACATGGATCATACATCCAGACATTATATATTTACACAATAAGACAACTTTTTTATTCAGTAAATAATTACAACATGTACAAATGTTGAAACAGACATAACTGCAAAAGTAATATTAATAATACATGTAGAATGATTTTATATGAAAGTTAATAAAAGATCAAGTGACCACAACGCATGCAGTAACTAAAACTTAACTGAAAGATAAAGAATAAACAATTTATAGACATAGTCTGACATTGGCACAAATTAAATTTTTTTGTACAACCAACCAAAAGTTCAATTACATTCTATAATTCAGAAACTGGGGGCTGTCCGACGGCTTTTCGAAGATCTTCAATTACGGCAGTCCAAAATAAATTTTCACCGAATCCTTTTTTGTACTTCAGATGCGAAGTACTGTCTAGTAAAGTACGGAGAGGACTTGTCATGTTTTTCGAGGTGAGATTTTCAAGCATTACTAACAGAAGTGCATTTCTGCCTTGTCGACGTCTTCTCTCCTGAATTATATCGACTTCCCACTGACACCATTCGCTTTTAGCAAATGCATTTGAAATTATAACAACAACCTTCCACGACATTTTAAGGTATTTATCAACGTTTGCACTGACAGATTCCCCAACATCAAAGTCTCTGTGGTAAATGCAAAACTTAAATCCCTCTTCATTTTCAAGTTTTTTGACAAAGTCGTCATGAACCCATATTCGGTTTTCATCACAGTAAACAACAAAAGCGTGATATTCATAATCATCGCTATTCAAAATGGGAAGATAACCCTGTCGTCTAAACTGTCTAACTTTGAGAAGGTATAACAAATTCTTAATATTTGTATTACATTTCAAGAAAATTGTCATAATCGATATAAACAGGCAAACAAATGCAGCCATTGAAATTGCAATCGTAACGATTAAGTTGCACGACAAATATGAAGGTTTGTAATCTTTCAACAATTTCACATTATAATTGCCTGGTGTAGAACAATAATAACGTTTTGGGTATTCTAAAAGCGTTATATTGGTATGCCGTAACCAATTGACAAACCATATCTGTTCACAAGTACAAGCAAATTGATTTGTTGCTAGACTTATCTTTTTCAAATTTGCAAGTAACGCAGTTGGAAAAGATGATTCGTTTACTATCTTGATCAAATTATGGCTTAGATCTAAATATTGCAGAGATGTCAAATGAGCAAACACATCTCTGTCCCATCCATATATTCGATTCATGTTCATGATAAGCGTTTCTATAACTGGCAGTTCAGAAAATACGTTGTTTGGCAAAAAGCCAAGTCTAGTGTTTTCCAAATTAAGATATCTTAACTGTTGCAATTGTGATATTATCCTTGTTAAAATGTTTGAATTCAAATGATTCCCGCAAAGATCAAGGAATCTTAAATGATTGCAGTTTGACAGCATACAACTTTGTGCCGACGGTGATAGACGATCAAAATGAAAATTACAATCTCGGAGCGATAACATTTTTAATGACGGTAAATTAAAAGCCCCATCTTCAATTTTTTTCAATGGTTTTCCTATAGCTTGTAGACTGAGATTAGTTAATTCTTTTAACTCGGCAAAGGTATTGTAGTCAATTCTACCGATCGAATTGTCGCCAATTTTTAATGAGTTGAGCCTCGGAAAACATCGAAATTCTCCAACATATCCAATTTTATTATTGCTAAGGGATAAATGTCTTAAATTTGGAAGTGCACTCTTATTCCCATGATTTATACAAAACTTCGGAAATTTTGTTATTTCATTACTGTCGAGATAAAGTTTGTTCAGGTTGAGAATACTGTCTTGTATAATTGTTGAAATTTTATTAAAACTGACTCTCAAAATACGCAAGTGAGGCATATTTGAAAACCATGAGAAATTTAACAGCTGAAGACTATTTCTTTTGAGGTTAATATTTTGAATTCTATCCTTTTTTATTGCCTTAAACATGTCATCTGGAAGAAAACTCCAATCGTTGTCTGATATGTTGAGTGACTTCAAATGTTCAGTTTTCATTTTGTTCAACGCATTCATTACATCTGTTGCTAGCAATGACGGTTCGGATGAGATGGTCAATGACTTTATTTTCATGAAAGTAGAAAATGTATCAGGCTCAAGTCGAACTATGGTGTTGTTGATAAAACTAAGCTCAGAGATAACATTGAAAGCTAGGTTTGCAATCCTTCCTTCTGATAATGTTCCAATATTTCCATTAAGAAAAGTAACCTTGCGAATATTTCTTGGTAAACGCGGAATATAGGTAAGATATTTACCAGAGCAGATGGCGTCGAAATTCGTATATTTACAAACCTCAATCGGACATTTTAGTTCATCTTGTCTTGCGACATATATAATGACACTGAACAATAAACAGATATGGATAATTGCCATTACAATTCTGTGATTTCAGTTACCTGAAGTAGAAAAAAAAAGAAAACAAAATTAACTTGTCTCACATCCAGCTGACAGACAACTAACTAAATTAGGAATCAAAAGTAGTTCTAATATTGTTAAAACTAGTCCATACATTAACAATCTTCTGTTAATCCTGACATTCATAATCTTTCATGCCACTAGTGAACAGTTTAGTAGACTAACGGTTTTTTTTATTTTGTCTTTTACTTTTTTATACTTTCTTCAAGACCACCATTCATGTAATCGAAAAAAGAAATAATGAATGATCCTACCCATTTAATAACTGCATTAATGCATATACCCATGTATACATGTATTGTCCTTATCATTCAGACAATATGATTTTTTTGTGTGAGACTTTCAAATATATGCATTCACGATTAGCAATCAGCTGAGCATAATGAAATAAAAATAAAAGCAATTCTTAAAATTGAAAGTAGAAAAAGACTGTCTAAAACAAATAAGAATGTCTTGTTTTTCTTTTATTCTTAATTTTTCTTTTTTGTAATGTGTTGAGAGGCAAAACTACTGGTATCGATATAATATGTTGTTTTAGTCCGTAGTTACATTTGTAAATGCAAGTACATATAGTCATTCTAGAAATGAATCATATGAATAAACAATAATGATAAACCTAGGTAGTCTGGATTGGGAGGGTATTTTAAAAACTTAATAATTTACTTGTATTAATTATTCTTTGAGTTGGATTTTAAGTTTTATTTCATTTTCTATTTTATAAAATATGATATTTAATGCTACACTATTCACTTGTCCGCATTGCATTTTTGTTCTGTATATATAGTATTCTTTTAACCATTTTATGAGATTTCTTATGTTTTTTTTTCAATTTTATTAACCTCCCAAATAAAACCATTTCTATATGAAGTGGCGGTTCACGTGGCACGTTTGTATATATCCTCTTATTAAATTATTCCCATACATCGAATACTTTTGGACAAGTCCAGAATATGTGTTCCATGGTTTCTACTGAGTTCATACATAAAGTACATGTTTTGCTTTGTAAATATTTTTCACATTTATTGGTAACCAATATTTATTGAGTAATCCTGTTTTGGAACTACTGTTCTTCTGAATGTTAGTTAAAATGTAGATGGCATTCTATACACTTCATGCCAGATTATGTAATATCTTTTTGGGATTGAGGATCATTTTTCTTGTGACGTAATATTTGTATTCTTTAGAACATTGACATATCTTTGATACTTTTACATATATAAAACTTCGTTAATAGTATCTGGCATGATTGACACATAAAGCTTTAAAATCTGGTAACATTTATTATTGAAACTTTTAAATAAGATTTAACTGTTAAAACACATTCAGATATATAAAAGTTTGTATCAATATCTATAATATCTGAATTTTGATATTCTGGCTAGTCCATTAAATGTCCATCATTATTAATTAAAAACATCAACGGTACCAACGGTACCAGATGCGCATTCTGCAGGGATGCTCGAAGCCAACATATTGGAAAATCAAAAACTTAGTAACAAAATGAAGTGCGGATAAAACCAAAAAAGACAAAAGAGTAAATCAAAAGCCAGACAAAAGAGTTCTGACAAAGTGATGGGACAGGAGATTTTTGCAAAGGACTTACACAATTTTTGTATTTTGCACTAGCAATGATAGTGAGGAACAGCAGATTTTCTTCATACACAACCAGGGGAAAACGATTTCGAGAACTCGAGGACAAGGAACCAGATCTTTGCCTGACGGGGATATATTCCTTAATTTAAAATTATTTTCCAAAATTTGTAATAATTCATTTATCAACCAGACACTTTTTACAGTCCTTTTTTGGATTGAAGTATTTGTTTGACCAACTCCTTATTATTCTCTCATTCATTTAAGTTTAGCTCCATAATTTCGATTTTTTTTGTAAATCAACACAATATTTGAAGCCAATGAACGTAAACCTGCTTGAACCCGATTGCAAACTATACTTGCCACATTTTATATCTTGACCATGTTCCAAACTACCTTTCTTATATTCATTCTAAGACGACTATCTGATAATAATTGTAAAATTCCAAGAAATGAATTTTAAGATTCTGGTGAACAATCTTTAATAAGTGTGGTGTCATCAACATATTGTAATATAAGAAATTGTTCAATGGTAATACCTCCCATATTTTCTTTTTATCGTAGTAATATCCCAAAAATTTCATCACATAACAAAAACATGGATATAAGGGATATCCTTGCATGCAACCTCTCTGAATTATAGAAGGATCTAAAAGATTGTTATACTGTTTTACCACCGATTTGGTATTTGTGTAGAAGGTCTTGCTCTAGTGTTATATTGAATTTTCAAAGTTGACATAATCAATAACTTGAATTATTAAAATCCAGGAGATGGATTAAATGCTTTTTCAAAGTCAATGAAAAGAAGAATGCATTGGCTATCGTTTTCTAATTTGTCAATTTGCATATACAAATGTAACAATATAAACTTGCGGGATCAATATCAGCGCGCATAATTCGCCGGTCTAGAATAAACTGCCTTCAATTACTCTTAAAAAACGGAAAACCTTATGCCTCAAAATATTTCACTGAAAATCCTTTCTTGAACATTTCAGATAAAGATTTTCTGTAGCCAATTTATCATACCAACATCTTTAAATCGAAATTTTTAATAATTATGTGTGCAAATCTTTTGGTACTTGTAATTACGACATACAACAATATTTGTAAGGAAAAATTAAAAAAAAATCCAACAAATGGAAAATCATTGGATATGCCATGTTTCGTCGTTTTAATGTCGCTATGAGGCTATAATTGTTCTCATCGATTATTGGATTGATTTTGTTAACATTGTTTGCTTTTCTAAAATATCACAGAGCAACATAATTATATTATGGTGACTATTTACCTATGCGCATCTTTATATACGACATGTATGTCGGCACAGGTAACACAAAAAATAATCAAGAATTGGAAACGTCCTTCAATTTAAGCTTCTTATTTGACTGAAGCAAAGAGTCAATAACAAAAATGGTCGTTGCACAAAATTTATTTTTTGTAGAAAGTAAAATATTACTGTGTAGTTTTTTTTAGTTTACTTATGGCATAGTTCATATATAACGTATGGCATGGTTTATATATTAAGGCCAACATTTTGAATTTCTGGTTCTACTAACTTTCTTTCTTATAGGTTCTATGAAAAGTCAGGTTTGTATAAACAAAATTATGATTTAATAAACCTACTTTAAGTTAAATTGTGTACTCATCGTTGGTTTAGCATTACGATATATGTTAATTCTTGCCTTAAGTGCATAACTTCTAAAACTGTCAATTAAAAATGATTTTATAATTATTTTTATTATAATATGGAATTTGATGCGACTGTCATACAAGTGAGAGGTTTAGCTAGCTATAAAACCAGGTTCAATCCACCATTTTCTACATAAGAAAATGCCTGTACCAAGTCAGGAATATGACAGTTGTTATCAATTCGTTTGATGTGTTTGAGCTTTTGATTTTGCCATTTGATTAGGGACTTTCCTTTTTGAATTTTCCTCGGAGTTCAGTATTTTTGTGATTTTATTTTTTAAAGATATGAATCAAGTTCAAGCTAAAGATATTTTGTCCAAATCTACATGATATCAAGACGGTAATGTTGGTAAAATTCATTTTTCGGTTAAGCCTTGGTTCATATACAATTTTGCATAACACATTTTGTGTAAACTGACCTTTTAAAATCAATGCGTTAATTTCAGTATGTTTATCAAGTCATAGTGACATTACAAATGACATTTCAGTAATAAGATATGAAAATAACTTTTTCTTTTAACCACCAACCAAGTTGCGGCACGCTTAGTCTCAGATTTACCTAAAATTTTGTTTGTTGGAAGCTTTCGATAAACATATAAAAAAATATGTTAGCAAAAAAAATGTTTATGTCCCCCTTGCCAAGGCATAGGGTCCCCTTGGATTTTTGCTTCAAAAATGCACATTTTGACGTAGAAAAATTACCACTTTTAAGCAGTTATCATGCACACATTTCAATTTTGATGAATATTTGACATTTGTTCATTAAAAAAATAAAATTTTATGAGTAAGATGAAAGATGAAAATTAATTCTAATAAAAGGGAGAGAAGGGGGCAGCACTAAATGAAATAAGGGAGTTTTCATTGTATTCAAAAGAGGCAAATTATAGGCACTTGCATGACATAATTACACACTTTTGCATCCACACCTATTTATATAGAGGTTAATAGTGTAAAATACCATTGTTGCCCAAGAATAATTTATAACTAAATGTTTGGGATTTAGGTTTCTACGGTGGTTGCTATGGGAACCTAAAAGTGTCATTTTTTGTTATTTTGTAAAAGAATTTTGACCTTGTTATTGAAATAGCCCATTAACAGTGCCAGAAAAAGGATGAAAATCACTTTAAAAATGTTGCGCATTCAATGATCTAAAGGCAAAACGTAATTGATGACCTTGACCTTTGACCTTGAGTTTTTTTTTTTAATTTTTGGCAAAAATTATTACAAATAGACCCAAACATTAAATAAAAAAAGTGTTCAGAATGATTATTGCTTGTATTTGGTGATTAAGCAAAATACCAGAGGTCAGGTCATGTCAAAAGTTCTTAGCAACGACCCTTACTTGATATAAAAGTACCTAGCAACCATACATATTTGGGTTCAGATTAATATGAATTATGATATAGATTCTAATTTAAAGAGAAGGGGTCAATAGTGTCACCATTGACTTAAGCAGCCATTTTCATATAGTTAGAAAATGCCTAGCAACCATCAATGGTTTGGTCCCTTGGGTCAAAATTCCGAAACTTTGAAACTAAACACATAATTCTTCTTCCAATTAGAA